TAGTAATAATAATAATAATAAAATAATAATAATAATAATAATTAACAAAAATTTAAAATGAAAAAAAAAACTGAAAAAACATGTAATACTATTTTTAAAATAAACATGACAGAGTAGTTAAGTGGTATACTTAGCGGTCATCTTTAATTTATATTTATATTTTTAACTGATTATATATGTGGTAAAATTAAATGATAAAAAATTCTTTTTTTGGAAAAATACTTCTAACTATCTTTCCACAACCTCCTTATTTATAGCAAAAACAAATGATGATGAAATTACTAAAAACGTGCATATTACCAAAATAATTATACACTACTCAAATTTTTAAATCACGTGATAACGTATTATTTATTATTAAACTCCCTTCAAAAGCAAGGTAATTAATAATATTGATTTTCTATTGTTCCTTTATTTTTAAAGTACGTCTATAATAATAATAAAAATTGAGCCATATCTTTTTATTTAGTTCTTCTATCCTAATATATTTATAACACAACTAAAATATACATTTTGAGATAATCTATCTAATTATTGAATTTTAGCATTTCGTATCCATTACTCATTTAGTTATGTATAAATAATATATATAACATTTGATGCTCTTAACAAATTCATATTTTATGATAAATTTGTGTCATATTTGATTTTTGTTCATAATTTTTGGGCTACATAGCATTATGGTTGTCAATGAAAAAATTATTTTGTTGTTGTATGGACATGAAAATTACAAACATACCATTCAAGTATTCAATATGTGTTAAGAAGTGATGAGAAATTTTCTATGTTAATCGCAATAACAATTACGCAAGAGTAACTCATGAATGAAAATGTGGCATTCATTAAACAGCGTAGAGATTCGAGTCCTCTTCAAGGCATAATATTGAGAAATACTAATTTAAAATAATTTTTTCATATAGACAAATGTATAATATATGTTCGAGCATAATATACAATATAATTATTCTCTTTTATATTATCCGCGCATCACGCGGGTACGTATACTAGTTAATATAATACTCATATATATATAAGCGGTTAAGGAAGCAGGTCATAGACGACATGTTTTGCTTCCAATCAGGAATATTAATGGTTATTTTTATAATATTTGAATTTTAAAAAGGTATTTCTTTGTTTTATATGTGTACTTTTTTTTGGTTGAACTTAAAATTCATTTTTTTAAAAAATCTCTTTTCTATCTATGTAATTGTGGTTCATTTTTTATTTTATTTTTTTGAATTTGCTTTTTAACAGATGTGGACCCCATCAACTTCTATTTACCTTTACCACAACTCTTTTTATTCCATCTACTTATTTGTTGGGAGGCCATTCTTCAAGTTTTTACCTTAAGCCTTCAAATATAATATTACTTGATTAATTAATATTTAATCTATAAAACAAAAAAAGACAAAAGACAAAAGACAAAATATTATATTTATTTTATTTTAATTTGTTTGATTTATTTTAAGTTGTTATGACGTTGAAGAAGAAAAAAGTTAAATCTTTACGTTAAAAGTTAGAATTAAAAGAATTGTTAAAAATATATAGAATCATTCTTTTTAAATAGACTAAAAAAGTAGATCAAATAAGTTAAAATTAAAGAAGTAATATTTTAGAAATAAAATATATCTGCTATTATTAGAAAAAGTGAAAATTAAAGTCGTATTTTCAGTTTTCTATATATTTTTAAATTCTATTGTCTTGCTTTCGTGCATTAATTTGTGCATATATTCAAATGATGTTTTTAACTTGTCAATTTATACCTGAGTTTAGTACTTTCTCTATTTTTATTACTTTTTTTATATGTTATATATTTAAAAATTACGTTAAAAAAATCTATAGAAGCACAATAAACACCCAATTTCGGTCTTCTACAATATAAATTATTCATTGAGCTTTTTTTAAGTTCAAATAATTTTGAATAATTAGCTTCATTTATAAAACTCAAAATATTTTTTGAGTTATTTTAAATAAATTGTTTTATAAAAAAAAATTAAACTAATATATATATGTTTTATATAATTAATACATTTTATGAATATTCAAAAATCATCTCAATTTATTTTAGATTTACTTAAATGTTTGGTTATTTAGTTTAGTTAATTAGTAGTTTATATTTTTTAGTTATTTAATTTATAATTAAGTTAATTCTTTTATTTGAATTTTAGCCGATTTGCTAATTAACTCAAATTAGTTAACTCCTTAACTTTGTTTGGCTATAATTATACTCCATATGGCCATTTCCTATTTGCAAGATCTAGCCAATTTTTACTCCAAACGTTTATCAATTTTCATTCAATTTTAAGACCAAATTAAACCCAATTCTATCTACCTTTTCAGCCCAGCCCAGCCCAATTCCAATATCTGCCGACCCACAGCAACCCAATTTACAACTCAACAACACAATTACTAGACCCAATCCACCATACAACACCAACAACTCTAACTTTGAATGTTTAGATTAACTTAATTAAATCCCTTAAACACAAATTGTCTTTTGTTATGATGAATTTTTCCATTTAACCTATGTTTGCTACATCCCTCATATTTCTACATACTCCTAGATTCCTTCCTTCCAATTCTCATTTTCCCTCTTTCACATTAATAGAAATAAATCTCAACTTTTCTCCCATTTTCTCCTGTCTTAAACTTATTCATATAATTTGTACTAATGCGTGCATGAAACAACATAAAGAACTAGTATTCCGGTTGTAACTAATTTTTAAAAGGTTAATTGTAGTAGTTAAGATACATACCCGATATTATTAAAGTCGAACGAGCTGTTGAGTGGAAAATTGACGAGTCCACTAGTGACTGTACGCAGAATCCGAGCATGTCTAGCTCGGTCTCTAGCCACTAATGCATCAATAGTGGTGACATGATTCTCTGGCAGCAATCTCTCCAGCTGGAGTACTCCCGCAATACCTGAAAGCAAATTTTAAAAAATATACATTATAAAAGTTAAAAAAGTACTTATGGCAAGACAAGATATATATATAAGGCCTAGAAACCTATTTATCTATTTTGTGGTATTTTGGCCATTTCTCCTCATTTTAAAAGATAAAATATTACAAAATATTAAAGCATATTGTTGAATTCTCTCCTTATTAAAGAATAAACATAAGTATGTATTAATGTCGCAAGAAAATTCCCGCCAGAAAAAATTATCCCTTCGGCTTCCCCATAATCAACATTTATTATATTTATTAATGTTATTAGTATTCACTAGTGTTGCACTTATTTTTTATTCCTGAAAATTCATTTCGATAATCCCCTTTTCCTCCCCAATAATTAGTAGTATTTATTAATAGGTTTTAAATGGTACACCTTTTCACATTCTGACACTCAATAAAACGATAGAAGTTTAGAAACAAAGCTCCAACAACTTCTTCACTATGCTAGGTGAAAAACTCATGATGCTACATTTTATCGGGTAATATTAATTATTATTTTATTAGATGAATAATGGATAATTGTATTGACAAATTCTTTTATGTGATTCAAAGGAATGTGATTTATACTTATTCATGGTTATAGTAAAAGCTAAACCAGTGAAGTGGCCATGAAAAGCTTGACAAGATAATTACTTTAAAGTAAAAGTTTCTCCTTAGTTCATACAATATTTCTATATTATATCATTATCTTATAATAACTATATCTTTTCCTTAATTGCTTAGCATCATTTTTGCTATACAAAAGTTTGTTCCATTACTTGTAGAAAGTGAAAAGAAAAATGTGTCATCAATACATGAATGAGATCTGACTACAACAACTTTTTTCTCATTTTTTTTTTACCATTCTCCTAATCTTCTAAATATGTTTTTATTATTAAAACCAAAAAAATAATCAAAAGTCACTACTTAAAATACTTCTCCTCAATATACGTTACCCATTTTTTTTTAATTACTCATTGTTAACTACCACTTACTGTATTTAAGTCTCTTTAATTTGTTAGTATTTATCATTTTAATTTAAAAGTCTAAATTTAACTAAATAATTTGTCAATTAATTAGGGAAAGACAATTACTATGGAAGACAAGGAAAGATGAAAGAGGTTAGATTTCAAATGGGTGATGAAAATATTTATACAAATTTTTCTTTTTGATTATTTAAAAATAGAGCGCAATCTTTAACTAGCAACAAGAACTAGAGGAACAAGAAAATAATGAAATCGAATAAATAAATAAATAAATATAGGAAGGATTGAAGGAACTAATGGTCCGGGCATAAAAAAAAAACAAAAAGAGGAAATAGGATAAGCGGGTAAGAAAACGGAGATAAGAAGAAAATGATAAAAAATAATCGAGAAAAAATAACCTATTTTTCAAACTAGAACTTATTATTTAAGTATGAACAATTGAGGGGGATATTAATAATGGAAATAGAAAAAAAAAATTAACAACAAAAAAATTAAGAAATTATATTAAATATACATTTCATTTCAACTTATTTCTATCTTTACTTTTCATTTCATGCTTACTTTATAGTATTGGAAAGAAAAATTTTAATGTATATTATTGATTTTGTAAGAATATCATGAAAAAAAATGTTATTATCTCGATTATATTTAAATAATTTTATTCCTAAACAATTTTATAATCGTGTTCACTAGTTATTACTGTATAAGAATTACTATAAATAGACCCCTTATCGTGGGTGCTTCATCAAGACTAACCTATTGATGTAAATTTCTATCTAATAAAGTGATATGATTGGGCTAATGTGAATCTTTCTAGTTGCCATATAATTTGTGTCTTAAATTGTCATTTTGCAACCCTTATCTTTCATTAGCTATTTTATTTTTTCCCCTTCATTACTAGAATAAAAATAAAAGTAGACCCCACAACCTTTTTTTTATATTTTACACGTAGATATATGATACAAACAAGGGAGCCATTTGAACTCTTCATTAATTATTGTAGTTTTAACATTTTCTATTTAATTTTTAAGGGAAAAGAGGTTTGCATCCTCTCAACTCTCAAGTCTCAACTCTCTGCCATTAGTTAAGAAATTATTAAACAAATGACGCATATATAGTTTTGTTTTTTGAAAAATAATGCATTTATAACCTTGCAGTTTAATAAATGAATATATTTATCTTTTTTCATTAACAAATTATATTTAAAAAATCTTTAAACTAATTTCTAATTCCAAAACAATCATGTGGCTTTAACAAGTCACCTAACTCGTTTTTTTTTTTACCTCTACCTAATCCAACTAAAAAAAAAAACTAGATCCCTAATTTATTCAAATTCGACTCAAATTTAATTTATGATAGAGTAGAAGAGGAATGAAGATATTTTTTCACTTGGGACGAGTCTACATTAAGTCTGGAGAATGAATATAATAATTTTTAAAATCACGTAATATTTTGTTGTGATTGAAAACTTCAAAACAAATGAAAATTTCCTAAAACATGTTTTTTCAAACTTTAAATTATATAATTTAAAATTTGAAGTTAAAATAATGAATTAAACAAATATGGCCAACTATTATTTGTAAATTTACCCCCCCCCCCCCCTCACCTAATCCCTATTTTTAATTTAGCCTCTTTGACATAAATGAAATTGGATAAGAAAAAAATATTTCTAAACGTAGTTTTATTTCTACATTTTTCTAAGATTATTTGATTAATCATAATTTGTCACTTCTATTCCATCTATTTTTATTTAGATTTAGAAAGATGTGCTTCATTTCTACAAAGTAATAATATATGTCAAATAAACATTGATGTATTTTGTTGTCATTTATCTAATCTTCTCTCTTTATTTTTCACTACTCACTTGCAAATCTATTTGAATTTGAAAAACTTCTCATAAAAATTTAATAGAGACAAAACCTTTTTAAAAAATTGAATTTCTAACTTATCTTTCAGCAAATTATTTTTCTTTCGCAATCAAATTACCTCATGAATTTCAAACATATCAATTGAGACACATTCAATTTGGTCGCCACACTTCCTTGCTATTTAAACTTGAAATTTTAAAGTCAGATTAATGATAAACAAATTTTCCTATTAACTTTACTTATGAGCAAAATATATTATAAATAACAATTTGTACTATTTTTATTATTAATATATAATATATAATAACAAAAATCATACCTGAAGAATAGTACCCTTCTGATGTCTCGAATGATTCATTAAGTTTCTACACATGTGAGAAAAATAAAATTAATTATTTAATTTAATTAAGATTAAGAAGCTCATTAATTAATTATATTAATTCATCCTATTTAATTATTAGATGAATTTACTAATTTAATCAATTTGACTAAGTTCTGAATTTCAATTGGGTACGATTTCAATCAATATAGCTAAATCCTCAATTCAAAACCTAAACCCTTTTATTACAAATCTAACCATTCCCTTCAACGTACAGCGAATGAAGCGGAGCCGGGCAGAAACCTGCATGAACCCGCAAAGACTTTACCCCGTCTCGTTCCGCCCGGCTCCGCATAACACATATTTTTATTCTTGTCCCGCCTCGCTCTACCCCGTATGAATCCGTTTCGCTTAAATCCATTCCACATAATTCATAATTTCTTAATTCAAAGAAATAATTATCAATCGTTACAGCTAACATTCAAAGAATAATATAGATTTAAAAGTTAAGTTACAAAATTTCATTAAATGCTAGTTTCATTAACTGAAGTGAGCTAAGAATTGTGTACTAATTTCATTAACTGCTAGTTTCATTACTTGAACCCATTATTGCTAGTTTCATTAACTGAACTAAGCTTTAATTCCTCTTCCAAGTTTGTCTTTCTTTTTATACATAGATTTGATTAATTGTGTATTAATTTAAATATACATATAAGAGCCATTAAATTTTGTTGAATTTAAAATTTTCAATTGTCTTACCACAACAGAAGAATCTGAGAACTGGCTGTAGGAAGCCAGCAGAAATAGCATCCAGATCATGCAATTCTCCATAACGATCGAACTGCAATTTTTTTATGGATTAAAATGATGGATCAAAATCAATTTCATCTTGAAATTTATTAAAATAACAATCTTCAAATAATATTGTGAAATTTTATTTTAAAATTTATCAAACGAAACCCTAAAGAACCTGTTTCTCATAAACTTGGCAAAAATACAAAAATAGAATCACTAGTGGTCTACACCCCAAAGTGGGAAAAAGGGTTTAATATTCTCTTTTGTTTTTTTTAAAAGTGAGGTTGAAGGTTAGTAAGAAGTAGTAACTAAAGTTATTGAGTTTCCTTTTATTGATATAAAAATACACTCTTTTCTTATAAAGTAAAGATTATTGATACATGAATATTTTTTACGGTTAAATGATTCATTTGTAAATTAACTAGCTATTGCATGGCTGTCAATCCTTTAAAAATAATGATTTTTCAAATTTCCATGAGCCATACTTCCATTTACTACCCACAATTTCTGTAGAATTGAGATTTTTCTGAACTATTTCTAGGCATTTATTATAGGGTATTACAGATCAACGACAACAATCACATTTAACTACTTATATTATCACATATTTAGCTTGGAATTCTGCAACTCTCTTTCTTTTAACACAAAAAGAAGAAAGAGGGGTTTTGGCTAAATGGAGATTATTTTTGGTGGAAATCGCATAATAAGTCTACATTAGGAAATGTGGAGGCTGTATTTTGGGCCTCGAGCCATTATTTTTTTGTTTTAAGACATATCAATCAATAAAAAGGGTCTTAGAACCCAGAAAATTTGATTGAAAATAATAATAATATATTATATATTTGATGAAATCGCTATCCGAAGAGGTGATTTAAAACAAAAAAAAAATATCTCTTTTGGAAATCACGGTCCAGGCAGCCATTTTAACATTTTTTTTTAATGCGATTTCAAGAAAATATTTTTTTTTACACGGTGTTAACTAGCAAGGATATCGCTGCTCCATCAGCGATTTGTCCATTTTGGTATTTAAAAAAAATTAGTGATCGTTTGTGCATTTTGGAAGACAAAAGTGACAATTTTGGCTCGGGACTCAATGCAATTATATACTCCCTCCATCCCTTTTTACTTGTCCATATTTCCTTTTTTAGATGTCCCTATTTACTTGTCCATTTTGACAAATCAAGAAAAGGACAACAAATTTTTTCCTATTATACCCTTATTTCCCTCCAATTTATTTCACTTGAATTCAAATAAGTGGTTGTAATTTTGAAATGAAAAGTTGTCATAAGGGTAAAATTGTAACTTCACTGTGCTAATCATTGTTGCCTTAATCTGTGTGTCATTTCTAAAGTGGACAACTAAAAAGGGACGGAGGGAGTATATAGTATCAAATTGATGGCTAAATCTTAGGAAGAATATAAACCTGAAATTCAGTTCTGAATTCGAGCAATCGCTTCCTTCAGCAAAAGCTTTCGAGATTCTCTTTCACTAACACACAAACTCACTCACTCTCACTGCTTCCGCGCGCCGGCGTTGCTGGGTTTATTGCTGGGGAGGGAACGGAAATTTTTCTCTGCTATCTTTACAATTTCTAATTCTTTTTATTTTGATCTGTTCTTAATTTTGACACTCCTTAGTCAATAGTCATATGTATGATAAATATTAAGATGACAAGGTTTGAAATTAAACCTATGCTAATTTTAGAAAAAGCTTTGTTGACACCCAATTTTGACCCTCCACAATATAAATTAATCATCGAGCTTCTTCAATTTCGAACGATTTAAAGTATTAGTTTTATAAAAATTTCAAAAAAAATAAAAATAAAATAAAATAAAAAAATAAATATAGTTTGCAAGTCATTTTAAATAGTTTCGTCACTTTGTAAATGATATATATGTTTTATATAATTATGTGTATAATTAATGTATTTTATGAACATTCAAAAATCATCTCAAAAAGATTTTTTATTTTAGATATTTTATTAGTGATGGTTGTAATTTTGAATTAATGAATCTTATGAAATTCAAGATACTTGCAAGTTATTTTTAAAAGTGATTTTGTCTTCTTGTAATTATTTTAAATAATGAATACGTACATTTCTACAATCACGTTATTTTATAAATATTTGAAAATCATCAAAAAGATTTTACATTTAGTTAAATATTTTATTAATTTACTTTAAGTTATAGTTATAATTTCGAATTATTAGTTTATAATTGAGGTATTTATTTTATTTCGTTAAGATTAAGGAGCTCGTAAATTAACTATATTAATTCATCTTATTTAAACTTTAGCCGAATTTGCAAATCAACTCAATTTGATTAACTTCTTAAATTTAAGTAGGCTAAGTTTACAATCCTTTGGCCTTTTTATTAAGTACAGATCCAACCCATTCCTCACCATTTACTTTAAATCTTTCAGGCCAACTTTGGGCCTTTTTTTCCTAGCATCTGCCGGCCCAACACTCCCTATTTTCAGCCCATTTCCTTTCCACCAATAACCCAGCCCAAGAAACTCAATTCAATCAACATACATCAGCAGCAATACAACATACATACCCACATTCACAAAAGCAAGCATACCCGACCCAACCCTTTTTTCCCTTTCAATTTCAACGCACACAACAACACAAACTGACCCCTGTACATCGTTCTCCTTCTCCCTCACGCGTCAATATCCAACAACTCCTACAACTTTCTTTGCAACAGCCACCCTCTTTGACCTCTTCATCCGGATATCCTGGGATTTTAGGGAAAATCTCACACAAGCAACAGCTTTCCCATCCTTGGAGGAAAAATTTAAAATTGGAGATTGAACTCGAATTTCGATTCTACCCTTTCCCCCCAATTCCCTTTCTATAAATGCCCTCTTCTTGTTCTTGGTTGAGGGGGATTTTTTTTTTTGAAAAGAGAGATTTTGGGTTTGAAAATTTGTTAGAGACAATCATTAGAGAAAGGGAGTCGGATTTTTTTTAGGAACAATCATTCTTATACTTAAGAAATATTATACATTTCTCTAATCCTAAGTTGTGAACGAATCTTTGCTCGAGTCCGATTTGCACTCCGTGGTCAGCTGCTCGAGATTCAAATTTTGTGGTGTTGGAAGAAGCTCGTTGCTGCCCTGCTCGCTCTTGTCTCAAGTTTGCTGCGTCGAAAGAGGTACCGCTTCTTCCTTTGTAGCATTCTCCTCGTCTCCCTCTCCATCTCGATATGTTGTTTTCTATTGTTGGAAAAGCTCTATTATATGGCTATTTGCTGATCTATTATCGTTGAGTTTTGGTGGTTTCAATATGTTACATTTTTGTTTCTTATGTGACTTCATCATCCAGTTCCGATATTGAGCCTAAAGGTCATCGTCTTAGCTTCAGTTCTGTTGTTTATGTGTTGCGCTATTTGAGTTTATCTCGTTGTTTTCTTTATTTATTTTCTTTGTGTGTCGAATCTGCCTCTCGATGTTTACATAGCCTGCAAGTACTAACTGCTCTTCATTTTAGTTTGTTATATTACTTTAGAAGAGTTACTTCGATCAAAAACAATTTATAGGCTAGAAAACATCTATTTGTTTGATATTCATTCATTTTGAAGGATTTTGTCCATTAGTTTGTTGTTGGACCTCTTCTTTAGTGCAACTTTCAATTATTAGTAGAGTTTATTTACATTAGTCTTAAATAGTTTGCTTAATTCGCTCCCTGGAGTGTACGTCTTCTTCAAAATGATTTCCTTGGTATATAATATTGCAAAAACATATGCTCCATGCTCAACTGTACACATGTTGCTTTCTATATATTTTGGTTATTTGGATGTGTGGAGTAAAAGTTAATCTTATTCCCTTTTTCTTGTGTTTGCTGCCCATATGCGTATGTTGCAGCTGCTGTATTGATTCATTGGTTTGAAATGATTAGTATTCTCTCGTAATTAGTCCCTTAAGAGTCGTTTGGCGTAATGGATAAAAGAAAATAGTCATGGTATAATTTTTAGTGCCTCTTTATTTCTTGTTTGATTACAAGTTATCCTTTCCTCTTGGTAGAATAACAATACCAAGATAACTCATCCTAGGATAAAACAATCAAAGTGACGAGAATATCCTTGAAATCTATTTGATTATCACTTTTCATGTCTTTTTTTTTACATTTGTAAAGTTGCTGAAATTTTGCTGCTCATGAGATTTTGTTTTGATAAATTTTAAATAAGTCTATAATTTTAGTTTGATAAAATGATTTGACTGCTTGAGTCCTTTTGGACTTCGTTTCTTTTGCAATGGGTTAAAAAGTTATTTTTATTTATCTATTTATTTTTCTTTGCAACAAGAAATGGTATCAAATTTACCAAATTTCAATTCAATATTGGTTATTGTTATTGTGCTGTTTTTTACTCCATTTTGGTTCATTTATATTTGTCTAATTTTTGCTTATGACGGTAAAGAGAGATGCTCCCCACTAGCCTCAATAGCTTGCTCTAGTTTTGATTCATGTGGATAGTAAACTTATCAATAATTGAGATTCATTTATATGTTGATTTATACTCTCTTGAGTTTGTCCACATTTGCAATAAATCGTGTTACTCTCTCCATTTTCATCTCAAGACGGCTTATATATTAACTCTTTTCCCTTACTTCGTTTGCATGTGAAAACCCCTTTTGAGTCCACGGTGAATTCTTTCTTCTCTCCTTTGCATTTTTAATTGAGCCATACGCTCAATTCCTCCTCATTGAGTCAACCTCTCTTCCATTTGGATCATTGGAAGTTGACAAACAAGCATGCAGGGCAGAATGCAAAGTACAGGGGCTGGAATTTGGATTTTTGGTGACCGAAAAGTTTGAAAACAGGCTGATATATTCGGATATTCCTTGTCATTCTAATCTTGATATAGTTCCAACAGGCCTATTCTTTGACTCTCCTATAGTGTATAGTATATTCTTTCCATCTTCCTACTAGGATGTATACATTGATATACAGTCATAAAATATGATATATAAGTCAAAAAACGTGAAAATACAGAGACAAGGTAAAATACAGGTGTTCGGAAGCAGGAGATACATGGAAAAAGC